CCACCTCTTCCTCTAGTGAGGAGGAAACTTTGATATGTAGAGCAAGACACTTAACCCTTCGTTGCTACAGAGGCGTCAACCTCTGACATGTATAGCAATTGTAAGTCTCTTTGGATGAAAGCGTCAGCTAAATGAATAAATGAAAGCAGAAAGTCAAATGTTAACAATAATATATATACAGTGGGGCCAAAAAGTATTTAGTCAGCCACTGATTGTGCAAGTTCTCCTACTTAGAAAGATGAGAGAGGTCTGTAATTTTCATCATAGGTACACTTCAACTATGAGAGACAAAATGAGAAAGAAAAATCCAGGAAATCACACTGTAGATTTTTAATGAATTTATTAGTAAATTATGGTGGAAAATAAGTATTTGGTCACCACAAACAAGCAAGATTTCTGGCTCCCACAGACCTGTAACTTCTTCTTTAAGAAGCTCTTCTGTCCTCCACTCGTTACCTTTATTAATGGCACCTGTTTGAACTCGTTATCTGTATAAAAGACACGTGTCCACAGCCTCAAACAGTCAGACTCCAAACTCAACCATGGCCAGACCAAAGAGCTGTCGAAGGACACCAGGAAGAAAATTGTAGACCTGCACCAGGCTGGGAAGAGTGAATCTACAAGAGGCAAGCAGGTTGGTGTGAAGAAATCAACTGTGGGGCAATTGTAAGAAAATGGAAGACGTACAAGACCATTGATAATCTCCCTCGATCTGGGGCTCCACGCAAGATCTCATCCCGTGGGGTCAAAATGATCATGAGAACGGTGAGCAAAAATCCCAGAACTACACGGAGGGACCTGATGAATGACCTGCAGAGAGCTGGGACCAAAGTAACAAAGGCTACCATCAGTAACACACTACGCCGAGAGGGACGCCAGGCGTGTCCCCCCCTGTACATGTCCAGGCCCGTCTGAAGTTTGCCAGAGAGCATATGGATGATCCAGAAGAGGACTGGGAGAATATCATGTGGTCAGATGAAACCAAAATAGAACTTTTTGGTTAAAAACTCAACTTTGGAGGAAGAAGAATGCAGAGTTGCATCACCATACCTACTGTGAAGCATGGGGGAGGAAACCTCATGCTTTGGGGCTGTTTTTCTGCAAAGGGGACAGGAAAACTGATCCGTGTTAAGGGAAGAATGAACGGGGCCATGTATCGTGAGATTTTAAGCCAAATCCTCCTCCCATCAGTGAGAGCGTTGAAGATGGAACGTGGCTGGGTCTTCCAGCATGACAATGATCCCAAACACGCCGCTCGGGCTCCGTTAAAAAGCATTTCAAGGTCCTGGAGTGGCCTAGCCAGTCTCCAGACCTCAACCCCATAGAAAAGCTGTGGAGGGAGTTGAAAGTCCGTGTTGCCCAGCGACAGCCCCAAAACATCACTGCTCTAGAGGAGATCTGCAGGGAGGAATGGGCCAAAATACCAGCTACAGTGTGCAAACCTGCTGAAGACTTACAGGAAACGTTGACCTTGAGTACTGACCAAATACTTAGTTTCCACCATAATTTACAAATTCTTTAAAAATCCTACAATGTGATTTCCTCTTCTCATTTTGTGTCTCATAGTTGAAGTGTACCTATGACAAAACAGACCTCATCTTTCTAAATAGGAGAACTTGCACAATCAGTGGCTGACAATACTTTTTTGTGTATCTATCAAAATCATACATTGAAAATGTCATGCTTTTTGACAAGCAGCACATCTATTAAAGTAACAATGTTTTTCCACTGGTTCTCAGTTTGTGAGGAAATACATTTTGTTGTAATATTTGGGAGTTTCTGTCTGATTTAGATCTCTCACGTTGTTACTGTTTGGAGCAGGTCTTTATTCTTTTGCTACTCTGGAATGAAGTTGGTTCAATATAAATAAAAGTAGCTCAGATGTAGTAAAGGACTTTTGCCATGTTGCTGTAGCTGAGCTTGCTACGTTTCTCCTGGTTGTAGCTTCAGTGTAGTGAAGCTTCATTTAATGCAGAGTTAACTGGTAGCTTGGCTCACTACATTTTCCAAGTGGTTTGTCCAACACTGTAAACACTAGTGTTTTGTTAATTATAAATACAATTGTTAAATATTTAAAGCAGAGGTCACTAATAGGCGGACCGCCGACCTACAGCCCATTTATTATTGAGACTTACTACCTCGTGACGGAGCGTTTCTATTTTAACACGCGCAGCTTTTCTAGCATTTACTGTACTGGTTTAGAGGACCAGGAAACTCACAGACCAATCGCACGTGCTCCAATCGTCTCATGTGACGCTGCTCAGCCAATCAAATCTGTGCATACCGAGGCTTGCGAGTCGAGTCCGCGAGATTCACCAGAGACGTTTTGGAAACACACCCGAATTGAGGAGACGAAAGATAAAAGAGATTTCACATGACTTTTAATCAAGAATGTACAGATTTTTACATGTACATTCCTCCCACGGGCAGTTCAAAACCAGAATATCTCATAGATCTCCAATATGCTAGCTGGAGCTCACGTTTCTCACTGAACAACAGAAAGTAGGAAAGTGGTAGCTCTGTAAGAGGAAATGAAAGAGAAGAGGAGGCATTACAGCTGTTCATTTGTGTGTTTATTATAAACTGGTTAAGACTACACTTCATCACTTCAAGCTACACTTTTTATTACATTTTTTCTAAAAATTAGGCACTTTAGTTTACTTAAATTTAGAATTTATTATTTGAATAGTTATTATTTATTATCCCTCCAGTTTGATGTGAAAACTGACTGAAATATTATTTGATTTGACAGTCCGTTGTTGACTAAAAACATGTGTTGATACAACTATAGGTTATAGTACTGAATGATAACGCAAGTTCGTCGTTTTGATGTTCCGGACCTTTGCTTCAGGAAATTTTCTCTAACTAGACCTCTTTGAAATCTAATTGAATACCCCTGATCTAAAGCAAAACAAATGCGCATATTTAGATGCATATAATTATTTGCTGCTGAGAGAAACACCTTCTCGGTGCCTTTGTTCTCTGTTAACTTCATCATTTAGCCTCATCTGTCTCTGTGAAATACAGTCCTTTATTGATATGAAATTCCCAAGTCAGTTTTATTAAGTGCAAAATCACAAACTTGTCTCAAAGCTTTACAATCTGTACATCATGTGGCCTCTCTGTCCTCAGACCCTCTGTTTCTGACAGAAATTACTCAATACAAGTTGAATCTGATCTGAGAACAGTCTGGAAACAGTTTAGTTGTTCATGTGTGAATGCTGGTCAAACTGTTTATTTAGCGGGACAACATGCAGAGGACAATATTTGACATCCTGCTCTCATATTAGTTGTCTTCTTCTTCAGGTCCTTTTCTCAGACAGTGAAAGAATCCTGGAGACAGTTGACACAGATGAGTTTCAGCCTGTTTCTCTGTCACACTGACAAACTGAGGAACACTGCTTCATGTTGAACAGCAGTTAGGACTCATGTTGGATAGAAAATCACTCTGACTGTGTTTCTTCCTCCAGGGTGGACCATGGTGGAGAGCAGAGGTTAAAACCTGGTCTGAGGAAGTGTAAGTGTGGATTCAATCTGACTCATGATGACAAAACAGCACACAGTCAGTTTCTCTTAATACAAAGTTGTAGTTGTGATATTTATTCATTCAAACATTACTGACTAAATGCATCATTAAACTTTATAGAAATGAACAACATCAGCACACAAACAAAGAATAAACCTTCAGATGTGTCTGATGATAAACTGCTGCTGTGTTGTGTCTCGTTCTCTCCATCAGATCTCTGTGAACTCACACTGGACACAAACACAGTAAACAGAAACCTCAAACTGTCTGACAACAACAGGAAGGTGACACATGTGGAGAGAAGCAGCCATATCCTGATCATCCAGAGAGATTTGACTACTGGGAACAGCTGCTGTGTAGAAATGGTCTGACTGGTCGCTGTTACTGGGAGGTCGAGTGGAGAGAAGGAGTTTATATATCAGTGAGTTACAGAGGAATCAGAAGGAGAGGAAAGAGTAAAGACTGTGTGTTTGGATTGAATGATCAGTCCTGGAGTCTGATCTGCTCTGATGGTCGTTACTCTGTCTGGCACAATAACAGAAAAACGGTCCTCCTCTCTCTCCTCCTCCTCCTCCTCCTCCTCCTCTAACAGAGCAGCAGTGTATGTGGACTGTCCTGCTGGCTCTCTGTCCTTCTACAGAGTCTCCTCTGACACACTGATCCACCTCCACACCTTCAACACCACATTCACTGAACCTCTTTATCCTGGATTTAGGATCTGGTCCTCTGGTTCCTCAGTGTCTCTGTGTTCTGTGTAGGAGGGAGACAACTTCCAGTCCTGTGGTTTAAATGTTGGTGGTGGACGAGGCTTCACTTTGGTTAACATCTGGCTCACTGATTGTGCCTTTAATGTCAGAAATGTGTTTTCTTAGAAATGGTGAAATGATCTCAGGACTGAACTTGTTGTGTACAAACTGTGTTGACTTTGATTTTCACTTTAATAAAGTTTTCTTGGAGCAGCATCTAGTAGCTGCTGATGGCTGCAGAGCTTCTCATTCACTTCAATAAAGGTTTGAAGACAAAAACTCAACAAATAGTCTTGATTTTTTCTGTTGCTCAAGTACATTTCTTTTCCTTGTTTGATCCTCACAAAGGCTAAATCAAAAGATAAGTCAGGCAGGAAGGAAGTGAAGCCTTGAAGGTTTATTATTATTATCTGAAAAATATAGAGAATATATAATAGGATTTAGTTTTTTCTCTCAATATTATTTTAATTATTTTATGAAATGAAGTTGTGTCGACAAACATAGTTCATGCAACATACTCCGGTACAGTAGGTGGCGTATGCACCTTTAAAAGTCATGGTTGCAATCTGCCATAAAAGAAGAAGAAAAACACACTCCCAAAGGTGGAACCAAAGTTACCAGCAGTTGTACCACACGGAGGTATTTCAGCAGGAGCCGGAAGTGAGTTAAAGTTGTGGCAACGCGCGGAATAGCTGAAGTTCTGAGTTAATTTAGTATTTGTGGAAGATTTAGTTTATTCAGGTAAACATGGCGTCTAAACGTAAATGTGACGCCACGGTTCCTGCGGAGGAAAGTGACCAACTGCTCATCCGCCCGCTGTGAGTTCAAACACAACGTTTACCTGGTTTAGCCTCCGTGGCTGCTGCTCTCTCACCAAACTCCATTCAGAAAAACACCAATTTAGTAGATCTTCCTTTTATCAACAAAGGCCAAAGCTTTTTTAAACTTGCTATTTAAACTTAACTATTCATTAGAGGCAAGGCTTCATTTCGGCGCAGACCAAATGTACCAAACATTATTTATTTAAGAAGGTTTTCAACGTGGAAATCTAACCGCGAGACTTGACGTTAACTTCAACAACATTCATTAAAATCAGATGCTTATTGGTGGATTCTAGAAATTCTGAGTTAATAATTTAACTGATTAATTAAATTAAATAACTGGTATTTGGCTTGTTTTGGCCTTTGCTGACAAAGTGTTTTAAAAGTGCTTAATTTTTGAATGGAGTTCTGCTTGATGTTCCTCTGGGGGCAGATATGCATCAGCTGGTCCTTCTGTTATTATTGGTTCTGCTGGGTTTGATAGCTGAGTTTAGTTTGTTAACGGTTCTTGGGGGAAGAGTTTTGTCTTTAAGGCTGAAACCTGAAACATCTGGATGTCAGTTAGACATGAAAGTGATGCTGTCTCTGTGTGTTTGTGTCCAGAGGAGCAGGACAGGAGGTGGGACGGTCCTGCATCATCCTGGAGTTCAAGGGACCAAAGATTCTGGTCTGTTTTTAATCCCATCAGCTGCACGGTATTCAGCTTTCAGTCACCTCAGTGTGTAAAAACGTGTGTGTGTTGTGGTTCAGCTGGACTGCGGGATCCATCCTGGTCTGGACGGGACGGACGCTCTGCCGTACATCGACCTGATCGACCCGGCTGAAATTGACCTGCTGCTCATCAGCCAGTGAGTTCCCAACATTTATCAGCACAGCAACCAGAGAACACTTTAATATACACACACTCAGCTGTACTAGCAGGTGGACTTTAATGTCCAAGTGTGTTGTTTTCCCTTCTCTGTACAGACTCGACCTGTGTATGAAATGTGCTTTCTAATCAAACTGCTTTGCCTGACATGATGCTGAGAAATCAGACCAACATAAAGGTCAGGGCTGATGTGGACCTGGAAACTCCTCAGTAACTGTTGCCCTCCCTCTCAGCTTCCACCTGGATCACTGTGGAGCTCTGCCCTGGTTCCTGCAGAAGACCAGCTTTAAAGGACGCACCTTCATGACTCACGCCACCAAGGCCATCTACCGCTGGCTGCTGTCCGACTACGTCAAAGTCAGGTAAGACCAGGACCCAGAGTCACATCAGACTCCCATACTACAGGGACCTGGACTCACCAGGACAGGATATGATGTACTGTGTTTAATATTCTTCTGTGTATACCATGTGGAGTATAACCTGCAGTACTTCAGTGTGTATAACCTGCAGTACTTCAGCGTGTATAACCTGCAGTACTTCAGCGGGTATAACCTGCAGTACTTCAGCGGGTATAACCTGCAGTACTTCAGCGTGTGTAACCTGCAGTACTTCAGCGTGTGTAACCTGCAGTACTTCAGCGTGTGTAACCTGCAGTACTTCAGCGTGTATAACCTGCAGTACTTCAGCGTGTGTAACCTGCAGTACTTCAGCGTGTGTAACCTGCAGTACTTCAGCGTGTATAACCTGCAGTACTTCAGCGTGTGTAACCTGCAGTACTTCAGCGTGTGTAACCTGCAGTACTTCAGCGTGTATAACCTGCAGTACTTCAGCGTGTATAACCTGTAGTACTTCAGCGTGTATAACCTGCAGTACTTCAGCGTGTATAACCTGCAGTACTTCAGCGTGTATAACCTGCAGTACTTCAGCGTGTATAACCTGCAGTACTTCAGCGTGTGTAACCTGCAGTACTTCAGCGTGTGTAACCTGCAGTACTTCAGCGTGTATAACCTGCAGTACTTCAGCGTGTATAACCTGCAGTACTTCAGTGTGTTGTAGTAAAGCTGACCTGTTTTCTGCAGTAACATCTCTGCAGACGACATGTTGTCACGGAGACGGACCTGGAGGAGAGCATGGAGAAGATGGAGACCATCAACTTCCACAGTGCGGACGGTAACAAGTGGTGAACACAGCGGTGAGGTTCATTCAGATTTATTTAAATACGCTTTTTCCCACCACAATTTTGGCGTTGTCGGCTCGTCACACGCGCGAGAGGACTCGGACACTCGGAGCTGCAGGTGAAAAACCGTATGGCCAAAATACGGGTGAGACGTTGAGGGCCTGACGCCTGAGTGTCTGAGGCTCCCTCACCGCTGTGATCCACAAAGAACCTGGTGGCTGGCAACACTCTCTTTGTGGTGAGTAGACTGTTCAAGTGGAACGATTCTCGCTGCCTCTCAGGGTGAGCGTGACAGACGTGTCAGCAGGGCAGGCCTGGGGCCGCCGTGTGAATCGGCAAAGCTTTGTGTTAAAGGTACTATAGTCAAGAAATCACTGGGGGGCAGTGGATTTCTTATAGGTCTGGGACCTGCTGTTGCATCAGTTCTTTTGGGTCTGGGACCCACAGTAAAGTAGGGTGTGTGAGTCATAGGACTCGCAATAAAATTGAAGAAAAACAATTTTATTTAAAAGAAACTTTTTTTATTATTTTACTTGGGGTTGCTGCTCCAGGTGATTACCAAGTAATTAGACAGTATTGTTGAATGCTGAATGTGTTCACTACAGATGTGTGAATGAAGTGCGACTGGGGAAAAAAAAACACTAACAGACCGTGTGAATGTTGAACAAAGGCTTTTTGTAAACGGGATAGGATTTCCTCAGACTACTAGCTTTGTTAACATTTAATAGAAACACGTAACAATTTAGACATTATATAGATCTTGTGACAACCTAGAATTCACCAGGTTTCACCACCGTGGAAAACCCCGGAAACGCCCATTTTATAAATGAGCCACACTGATTCGTTGCCGGATGGCGCGACAATTAAACCTCCTCCTTTTTGTTTTGTTTGTGCCAGAAACTGAACCAGTTTTATTTATCTTTTTTTTTGCTTTGGCACTGGACTGAATTTATTTTTGTGATTTTGAAATGAACTGCAACTCATTTGTGTTTTTGAGATTGTTTGGTTTAAGTGTGCAGAAAACCCGAAATGGAATTTTCAGTTGGTTTGTGTTTTACTTTGTGATTGTATTTTTGTGTGAAATCTTGAAATGCACCAATATTTTGTTTTGTACTAAGCTTTTGAGTTTGTGGTGTTTCTTTCTTTTATGGTCATTCAGTGTTTTTTTGTTGATTTAAAGCGGGCTCTTCAGTCTCCACCGACCCTGGGTCTCCCCGACTGTAACACACATTTCACCCAGACTGTTGACGAAAAGGGGGGGTACATGACCTCAGTACCACTACAAGACCATGGGGGACGACTGAGACCTGTAGCTTATTTTTCATCCAAACTGGACTCTGTTGCAGCCAAACTGCCTGAGAGCTGTGGCGGCTGCTGAAAAAGCAGCCATGGCATCACGTGACATTGTGGGTTATTCAGACTTGACATTGTTGGTTCCACATGCTGTCGATGATTTTGCTTGAACAAAAAACATCTCATCTCTCCACATCCAGGTGGCTGAGATACAAGACCGTGTTGCTTGATATATCTAACATTACTGCACTGTACTGAATCCTGCTACTCTCCTCCCAACTCCAGGTGAAGGACAGCCGCATGATTGTGTTGCAGTCATAGCAGAAACCTGCTCTCTAAGGGCAGACTTGCAGGAGACTCCTCTAACAAACCCAGACATGGAGTTGTTTGTGGACGGCTCAGCATCACGTGATCCAGCTCCTGGTAAAAATCGTTTTTGCAGTAACAACTTTGCATGAGACTATTTTGCATCATTTGTGCAACTAACAATGTGGGGCGGCCGATTCAGATCCCACAGGTGGCACACCCCCCCCAGACAAACCATTTGAGCACCTGCAAATGGACTTCATTGAACTGACACTGTCACAGGGGAAGAAATATTGTGTTGTCATGGTAGATATGTTCTCTAAAGGGGTAGAGGCATTTTCAACATCTAAACAGGATGCAGCAGCAGTTGCAAAAGCTTTGATAAGCCAGATCATCGCTGAGCGATCCCAGCTAAGATCTCCAGTGATAATGGCACACCTTTCATTAGCGCAGCACTGAAGAGTGTAGGGGAGGATATGGGGATTGATCTGAGGCAACATTGTGCTCATCATCCAGCTAGCGGAGGTGCAGTTGAATAAGAAAATGGCACATTGAAAAACAAGCTTGTTAAATGCTGTGAAGAAACAGGTTTAACATGGACAAAAGCTTTGCCAGTCGTTTTAATGCACATGAGAAGCCGGATGAGGGGCAGAGGGGGTCTCAGTCCTTTTGAAGTCCTATTTGGCAGACCATTGAACACGGGGATTGGGCCAGTAAAAAGACAACTCCCTGATACCAGCCAATGTGAGGATGAAATGTTGAGATATTGTGCTAATTTGTCCTCTGTGCTTTCTGAAATTCATATGCAGGTCAAAAACACCATCCCGAAGGCCGCAGAGAAGAAACTGCACGATCTGGAGCCAGGGGACTGGATTGTGGGAAAGGACTTCAGGAGAAAGGGCTCGCAGGTGGACCGGGCCATTTCAGATACTGCTAACAACAGAAACAGCAGTAAAAGTGGCTGAAAGAGCAACTTGGATTCACGCCACCCACTGCAAACGAGTGCCAAAGCAACCAAAAGGCCTCAAACCAGGCGAAGATGGAGATCAGTGATTGAGCTGAGCTTTCCCCTGCCTTGTGTTCCTAGGGAGGGAGGGGAGTGGAGGTCTCTGAGACCACCTAGAACCACTAATCTCCCAAACACTCACCGCGGGCACACTGAAACCAACAGATGGCTCTGGAGAGGTGACGGACCGAGACAAAACGGAGGCGTTGTTCTGCTCACTGTCATCATTTCCAAACATGAAAACAACAAACTTGGCCTGACTGAGGGAAAGTTCCAGGCCGAAGAGGAGGAGATGCACGTCCTCCCTGACAGCCCGGCTGGGCTGAAAGACAATGCATGGTATGCAACCACGATGACCACTTCAAGAAAAGTAACCAATCAGAGCTGTTATGCGTGTGCACAGCTCCCTCATGGAGTGGGGAACTCCATACCAGTGAAACCCAGACCAATAAATGTTTCAGAGACACTAGGAGCCCTGTTAACCTTCACTCAAGGGTTTCCCAGGGTGGGCCGAGAAGTTAAGGATATGACCAAGACACTTAACTGTGTAACATCAGCATGGTCAACTTTAGGGTTAGGTTCTGGAACACGTCTCAGATAACCACCAGATGTACCTTGGACATGGGTGTCTTTCTATAGGCCCTTTTTTAGCCGACGTCAGAGGTACGTCACAGCGTTAGCTGGAGGCAAAACAAACGGACAACCGGAGGCGGCCAATACAAACCAGCACAGGGTCGGCTACACAAGGAGCTTAAAATGTCATCTTGTTGTGTTGTCAGAATCGACGGAGTACAGGCAATTTGAAATTTTATCGCATACCTGCTGCCACTGCCATACAAAAACCCGAAGACAGCTGTGGTTAAACGCAATAAAACGAGCGGACTGGACAGAAACGATCATCAAAAATTCTCGCGTATGCAGCGCACACTTCATATCAGGTAAGTTAAGGTAAATAAACTAGTGTCTTTCGTTGATAAAGTAACGTTATCTACATATTTCTCATAATGCTAAATGCCCACTTAAATAGAAATTGTAACGTTAACAAGTATAGTTATTTCTGTCGTGATGCTGACTTTTTGAGGTCATAGTTAGCAAACTTTGTTCGAAGTACAACTAATTAGCAGTTAGCTAACTGTTAACGTTAGATAACGTTAACATAAACGTACACTGTTGGTGTCGTCTGCCTTTCAACCGTTGCAGGTTTGCAATTGTAGAAAGTACAGTGAGAAGGCCCGTGTCATGTACAGGTATTATGTTCAAGTAGTTGGATTTGCTAACTTTCACCACAGTTAGTAGCCAACGAAAAGGATAACCTTAGCTAGCTAACTACATAATAAGGTAGGCTGACACTAGCTTTAATTACTTCTTCTTATTTTGTAGGACAGGCTTCTATGGATGAAGACAGCCCTGACTTCGTCCCGTCTGTGTTTTCCTATAAATGGCAGAATGACAGGCCTGTGGAAAAGCTGGAGAGGTAGGTGAAATTGAGTTTTCTTAATGTGGCTAGGTGAGTGTTACCATAGGCTGTAACTCGTGTGTGCAGTCTTCCTCACTAAAATCTCTGTCTTCTCTGTTTTGTTCTGCTTTTCTAAGGCTGGAAAGAAAGAGGAAACGGGAATGTTCAACAGTGGAGCAACAGGCTTCTTGCCATGGTAAGAACATTCAAAATGTTTTATGCACAGTACAATGTTTTTGTCATACATACATTTATCAAACTGCTTTGTCATTTGTTTTTCACAAATGTCTTCCAGCTAATGATGATCCAGTGACACCAGAGGAAGCAGTGGAAGAAGCTGAGGCTATGGTCCCTGAAGCAGCATACAACAGTCTCAGTGAGAAGTATGATCAACTCAACACTGAATATGTCAACTTAAGAAAAGACTTTTACCAACTTAAAGAGGAGAATGAAAGACTGAAATAGGAGCTTCAGAAATCACGCTTCTCATTCTCCACGATCAAAAACAATGCTGCACACTTTGTTTCTCACTGGGTTAACTTCAGTCATCTTCAGTTGGTTAATGTCAAAAATTGAAGACAGTGTGCAGAAGCGAACTGAAAGTCTCATGCTAGAAGATCATTTATTAGTCGTTCTTATGAAACTGAGATTGGGGCTCAGTAACAGAGATATTGCATATAGGTTCAAAGTTTCTGAAAGCACAGTGTCAAACATTCTAAGGTCCTGGTTGCCTGTAATGGCAAACATCTTGAAATCCATTATTAAATGGCCAAGTAAAGGTGCTGTCCTTAAAAATATGCCCAAAAGTTTCAGGCGACATTTCAAGAGATGCAGGTGTATAATTGACTGTACAGAGATATTCATAGAAGACCTACTAACTTGACTGCCAGGGCTCAAACCTGGTCCAATTACAAGCATCACAACACTGTTAAGTACCTGGTGGGAATAACACCTGCTGGGGCAGTTTCATTTCTGTCCACGGGCTGGGGTGGGAGAGTGTCAGATAAACAGATAACACTTGAATCAGGATTTTTGCACTTGTTAGAGCCCAAAGATGAAATCTTAGCGGACAGGGGGTTTTGATCAGGGATCAACTTGCTGCTTATGGTGCCACTTTGCGTATACCAAATTTTACCAAAGGAAAGAGTCAGTTACCTGCTTGTGAAGTAGATTCATCCAGACAACTGTCACGTGTGAGAATACATGTATAGAGAGTTACAAGCAGATGGAAGAGTTTCAAAATTTTGCATTCTGTTATTCCTATTTCCCAAGTTAGCCTTTTGGATGACATGGTGATTGTGTGTGGTGCTCTTACCAATTTGTGTAAATCTGTGGTACCCAGAAAAGAGAGAGTATGTCGTGTATGAAATATCAGTGTTGTGTGTACAACAATGTACTGATGATTTATATGCTTTTCACTCTAATTCAATTGACAATTGTTTTAATTAATTGTGAATCATCTGTGATTGTATATACATTGTTGTTAATTGTGAGTGGAATTTTTAAGAACCTGGTAAGAAAGAATTAAATACAGAAGTTTTATAATTAATTTGCAGTGTTCAGAATTTATTTCTAAAAAATATTTACATCTTAATACTACATTGTACTGTTATCTCATTCTTAATTTACAGGAATCATACTTTAAAATATCTCTTATGCCATTACATACATACATTTCCATACCCAATACCTTATCCACCACATTGAAGGTTTAACTATTTTTGTATTGTAGCCCAGTTCACTAACATGTAGCTGTAAAATAGTACTTATTCCCTGCTGAAATAGAAGCATATATCTCTTCATGGCTAACCGTGAAGATAGACACAGGTGAGTCAGGTGTATTTCTCTGCAGCAACTGCAGTGCCAGTTCTGTAGCCTCCTCTTAACTTGTGCACAACTATAATGAAAGAAGTTTTTGCACATGCTACACTCAATCATTTTACCAAACTCTGGCTTTTCACAGGTGTTACAAAACACTGGTGGTTGAAGGGCAGGATCTTGGCTGCGGGTTAGAAGTTCTGGCAGAATGAAAGATACAAAACATTGCTTCGCTTTAGGTAAATCCTTCTGCAAGAGCTCTTCATCTCTTGAGATGCGATTTACAACCAGCTCCTGAGTTGTCCACACCACAAAATCACAGTACTGGACATTGCAGGCAAACATGTGCAGTTGAACCTGGTGGTAGTACTGGTGTGTCTTCTTTAGTTGGAATGTTTTGTCAAGGCAGAAATCCTTAGTGACTGTCACACCCTGTAGGCCTTCCCTGTATTTATATGGGCATTTGATTTCCAAGACCCCTTCCCCACAGCAGGAACACACAACTTTCCCATCTGGAGATGCGCCTAGGTGCGGTTCATCAGGTCGAATCACAAAACCACATGGACTAACCGTTACATTTTGATGGGTTTTGTTGAGCTCTTTGGTGTAACGCTCCCTAGCAATTTCCTCTTTGTCTCTTCCCCATACAGCTGCTGGAACCTGTATGTTGGTGTCATTGTAGCGCATGATTTTGTCCAGGGTGGTTTTGTGCAGATGGTCACCTTTACATACAGTATAAAATGTTGTGCTGGTAATCCTGCCTGCCCTATGAGTGAGCCAGTCTTGGGACTTTGCCTGCAGTTTTGTGATAGTCTCAAGTCTCACACTGATCTGGGTGGATGTTCCTTCTCATGTTGAGATAGGCTTCCTCACATTTCTCTCTGATGTCCCCATGTGTGTGCTGTCTGAGCGTAGGGTCGTACAAGGCTGTGAGCGGCTCTGGCAACTCTGGAGGATGCTCTAGCTCAGACTCAGACGCTGTGTCAGTGTCACTGTTTTCTATGCTGGTAAGAACAGCAGCGTCAGGGGCAATCGAATACAGTTCCTGGATGTCTTCATCTGTGAGTTCTAGAAGACGACATAGGACAACAATATTTAACGCACTTTAATGTGTGTATGTATGCATATTATATGATTGTGTTATAATATATTGTATTGCTTTCTTGGTTGTCTCATATCTGGTATGTAAAATGTGTTGAGATTCAACTAAGCACTTCAAAGTTTGACTGGACATTTGAGAATGAATCTTCACCTAGCAGAATAGCTCTGACCTGGTCAGGTAGTAATTGCAGCTTAATTCTTAACTCAACAAACCCTCATCTACTCTGGTACATGCCTCTAGCACTGCTATTGAACCTCCTGACTTTGGCTGGAACTGCTGCGGTCAACTGTCTTTTAGGCCTCTGGAAGTTGATCTCCCTAATTCTGGCTGGTTTGACCTCTCTCTTCGTCTGTTTCCAGAGACATTCTCCTGATGTGCCTGCTGGCTGCTCGGTCCTCCCCATCCTAACATACAGCTCCACCTTAAATAGCACTGCGGCTGCATGGCTGCAGCAAGACCCTAGACTGTTATGTCAGATGGAAAATTAAACTGAGTGATAACTTGTTGCTCATCTCATAGCATAGCTAACACACCAACATAGCTAAACACAACATAATGATGGAACATAACTATTAACAACAAACGTTTTTTTTCCATTTAAATTCAATATCAAATGTGATCTTTCTAATCTTATATTAGCTAAGTTACTCACCCAGCCATGCAAGTGCAGTTCGCGGTCAAGACGTAGTTGTTTCTTCTGTTTACAATGACCCAAGCCTGGTACATGGTCGTCTTCTGGCCTTGGCGCTGGCTAGGCAGAACTTCGGATCGTACGACACAAAACTCATCTGTTAAATCTTTGTATTTGAAGTCTTGTACGTGACCATTCAGTACGTAGTTATAGGCATCTAAGGATTTATACGCCCTCAGTTTGTCTTTACTATACACGCTCGGTTTCTCTATCAGGTAGGTGTAGATGTCAGGCCACTCTACCGGAGGTAATCCTGTCAGTTCGTCCATCCAGAGTGAGTGTGTAGGGGTCGACCAATCTGGTTCCGTCCGTTAAAGTTAACTTTTTAAAATAATTATCGCGGTCCCGGACAGTGAGTGACCTTACACATTCAGATAAAATCGGATTTTCTCCATCCATTGTTGAAAAAAAAAAAAAGCTAACAACATTTGCTAGCTACCGTTGTTGAAGTATTCAGGGGAATCTTTCTGCCTCCAGCTATGCCCCGCCCACACAAATACGTCACAATGTTTACCAACTGAAAAGGGGTCAATAGATCCAGATTGAGTGTCCCCTAGGGAACACTGAAAGACACCATGTTTCTTTGATGAGATAGGCCTCCGACCCTGAGACTAAGATAAAAGCTGCATGACCTGTTACGCTGCAGCTCACTCGGATGATACTCTCGGATGTGTATGTGTCCCCTTGAATTCCTTCTGCAGAAGACTTGAATAAAATTCACAGAAAGACAAGTGTTTGCTTTTTCCCACCACACCGTCTACATTAAATCGACTGAAAATGCACATCTAGTGGCCGTTCATGTACACTGGGCATGCACGTGCCAGTGTAAACTTGAAGCAGATGGCGATTTGGCGAAAGAATAAACTACTACAGACGAAGAACCGCAACAGGTTTTTATTTTGCATGGACTAATAACAAGCTGGGACTGTTACTGAATGCAACACGGGAGTTAAAAGCAGCGGTGGTCGTTTGTAAAGTCTTCCATTTTTTCCCGTCTTCACTAAAACGCTACCTGGAGTTTAGAAACGGAAACTGGGTCGGCAGCATTTCCAAACTTCTCCGTTTTAGTCTGGACGGGAGGTGCAAACGTAGCGAAAGGTCTCCGTTTTAAAACCAAAACACAGAAGTGTGGGCGTAATATCGTGTAAAAATTCAAGACTTGGGTCAGATAAGAAAGCTTGAACTTTTACCAACATTTTTATTAACGACAAAACAGACACCAATTACAATACAAAAGTTCCACCGGAGTGAGTCAGAGATCGGTGCAAAATAGAGCCCCATTCTGTTACCAGAACAGAGACCCGAGTCGACATGAAAACCATGAACGACTGACTTTCACCTCCTTTTATAGTTCTGTTTCTTGGAATCACATCATCTCTTGGCTCTCTTTCCTACTGCACCTGGATCTGGGAAAGTCCAAGATTTTCACGTGCATCAGCATTTGGTGAGAAAGTCTCTGACTGTGCTGCTCCTCCTCTCTGTGTCCTTTGCATGCCCTCCGCTTGATCATACTTTTTCATCCATAACCTGACTCTTGTGGAATAAACTGGTGTTGTTTGTGCTCTGTGCTAAAAAAGGACATTCTTACTGTGATGGACTATATTGATGTATGTTTTGTAATACAATTTCACAAAATCTGCTTCAGACTAGCTAGAGAGAGTACAGGTGCAGGTCATATAATTAGAATATCATCAAAAAGTTGATTTATTTTAGTAATTCCATTCAAAAGGTGAAACTTGTATAATGTATACATTCATTCCACACAGACTGATATATTTCAAGTGTTCATTCCTTTTAATTTTGATGATTATAACTGACAACTAATGAAAACCCCAAAATCAGTATCTCAGAAAATAGAATATTGTGAAAAGGTTCAATATTGAAGACACCTGGCGCCACACTCTAATCAGCTAATTAACTCAAAACACCTGCAAAGGCCTTTAAATGGTCTCTCAGTCTAGTTCTGTAGGCTACACAATCATGGGGAAGATGCTGACTTGACAGCTGTCCAAAAGACGACCATTGACACCTTGCACAAGGAGGGCAAGACACAAAAGGTCATTGCTAAAGAGGCTGGCTGTTCACAGAGCTCTGTGTCCAAGCACATTAATAGAGAGGCGAAGGGAAGGAAAAGATGTGGTAGAAAAAAGTGTACAAGCAATAGGGATAACCGCACCCTGGAGAGGATTGTGAAACAAAAGCCATTCAAAAATGTGGGGGAGATTCACAAAGAGTGGACTGCAGCTGGAGTCAGTGCTTCAAGAACCACCACGCACAGACGTATGCAAGACATGGGTTTCAGCTGTCGCATTCCTTGTGTCAAGCCACTCTTGAACAAGACACAGCGTCAGAAGCGTCTCGCCTGGGCTAAAGACAAAAAGGACTGGACTGCTGCTGAGTGGTCCAAAGTTATGTTCTCTGATGAAAGTAAATTTTGCATTTCCTTTGAAAATCAAGGTCCCAGAGTCTGGAGGAAGAGAGGAGAGGCACAGAATCCACGTTGCTTGAAGTCCAGTGTAAAGTTTCCACAGTCAGTGATGGTTTGGGGTGCCATGTCATCTGCTGGTGTTGGTCCACTGTGTTTTCTGAGGTCAAAGGTCAACGCAGCGTCTACCGGGAGGTTTTAGAGCACTTCATGCTTCCTGCTGCTGACCAACTTTATGTAGATGCAGATTTCATTTTCCAACAGGACTTGGCACCTGCACACAGTGCCAAAGCTACCAGGACCTGGTTTAAGGACCATGGTATCCCTGTTCTTAATTGGCCAGCAAACTGGCCTGACCTTAACCCTATAGAAAATCTATGGGGTATTGTGAAGAGGAAGATGCGATACGCCAGACCCAACAATGCAGAAGAGCTGAAGGCCACTATCAGAGCAACCTGGGCTCTCATAACACCTGAGCAGTGCCACAGACTGATGGACTCCATGCCACGCCGCATTGCTGCAGTAATTCAGGCAAAAGGAGCCCCAACTAAGTACTGAGTGCTGGACATGCTCATACTTTTCAGTTGGCCAACACTTCTAAAAATCCTCTTTTTGTATTGGTCTTAAGTAATATTCTAATGTCAGTTTTAATCATCACAATTAAATGAAATAAACATTTGAAATATATCAGTCTGTGTGTAATGAATGAAGATAATATCCAAGTTTCAGTTTTTGAATGGAATTACTGAAATAAATCAACTTTTTGATGATATTCTAATTATATGACCAGCACCTGTAGATTAAGTGTACTTCTCTGTTTATTCTCTTTTCTAAATAATTTTTACTCAATTATTTGCTCAACCCCTCAGCCTATTTTTGTTTCCCATTTAACTCTCTTAACCCTGATTGTACAATGCACTGTAACTTTTATTATTTTTTAATGTGTATTATTTCAATTTCCCTATGTTGCTTTTAAACTTTTTTTTTATATTTCCCTGTTGCTTTTATGTTTTATGTAAAGCACTTTGAATGACCTTGTTGAAATATGCTATACAAATAAACCTGCTTTGCCTTCTACATTTTCCTTTGCAAGTGTTTTTGATGCTGTATTGCTATCCCACTGTGCTTGCTCACTCATACACACGTGCAACTGTTGAGCCTGGGCAGTTAGATACAGAAAGGAGCACACACACCCAGAACTATAGAGTTTTAACACTGTGATCCTAACTTTACACTTTAAAATAACACTTTAAATGATGACAATGGAGACCACCATTGCTCTACTAATTAATGATAACAATTTAGGCTATAATGCTCTAAAATAATTCACAACACTCCCTCCTCTGAGGCTGTAAAGCCTCACACTTTATACACCAACACTGTGACCACTGAAAGTGGGCGACCTATTGTATTTGGCATCTGAAACCTATTTCTCAGACTTGCAGACCTTCAAGAAAATACCCAAATTATTGTTTACACGTTGTGAAATAATCAATAATCATGCGGTGGGCTGTTTCTGTTGCTAACACATTTGAGCAAGTTATAATGACAAGGATTTCCATTACTCCTCTCTCCTCCTCATTACCCTTTAAATGAGCTTATTAAACTATTAAACTACCTATACGTGCTATATTATAGTGAGATGTACCTTGTAAACGGTTTACACAATGGTTAGCTCTCGTCTCTTCCCTATCTAATATAGCCTTTCTTTTTCCATTTCTCCTTTTTTATCCCAACTTGAACCTTTAAAGACCCTAATTCTTTTTTTCTTCTTCTTCTGCCTGTACAGGCGCTTAAATGCACTTATATCTTTGTTCCACTTGCTGTGTACGTTTCTTCATCTGGGGGCATATCTATTTAGACCTTATCTAACAAGGTGGGGTCTTTCATTATTCCGTCTCTGTGACGACTATTCCCTCACTAAAGGCTATATTGAATGTCAGTACTATCTACCTGTTGGTCAAACAGTTTCTCCTTATTTTTCCTTTATTCCAAGCTTTCTCTATCTCTTATCTGATGTCTTTTCTTTTATCTTTAACTACTTAGTTGTGCTGTTACTACATATGTTGCTGCCACAGCTCCCTCCTTTGACCACCTTTGCGGTTAATCTCTCTTTTTTGTGATCTTTACCATTTAATTTCACCTGCTGTGTGCCTCCCAGGACAGCCATCGCACACTCACTGCGAGCAAACACTTACTCTCTGGAAACTTTAGAATTTGGACGGCCTTGACACCTCAAAAAAGAAGAAGACAGTTAATTGTCAAGCCACACAACCAAGAAACCAGAATGAAAGAATTCATTGAAAAAACTTTGTCTTTAATCTCAAGGAGCTATTCAAATGGCGGGGCCTCAGTGATTCTGTGGCCCCTGAGTCAACAGCAGATGTGAGATCTTTCCCTGCCACAGTGATTGTGTGTTAATCAAAGAAGTTTGGGGGCGCTACTCTGCCAGAGCGACTCCGGACACGGCTCTGTGTGCGCATGTGTTACGTAGTTTTTTATGGTTTTGTGGTGCATTTTTTTTTGTCTTGTTGTTTGGGAATGTTAACAGCAACAGTATTTTACAAACTTTTCAGTCAGAGAGACACAGAGCTGTAAGCATTATGAGCTGCTGAATGTGTCCTTCAGACCTCACTACCTACCCCGAGAGTTTTCACAGATCACCGTCATTTTAGTGTAAATACCAGGGTCTGATTTTAATCTAGCTGCAGAGCACATAGCTGACAGTTACAACAGAGCTGTCAGTCAGACAGCCAGTGTTTCCACTCATTTGCCCAACCTAGAGCAATGTGTCACAACTCCCACCAGACTTCAGACTATACCGGTGCTATGGCAACATCACAAATGCCTACATCTCTAAACCACGCCCACCTCTCAGTCGCTCAGATCACAATGTCATTTTACTTCTGCCAAGATATGGGTCACAACTAAAAACAGGTGAATCATGCATCACAAAATCCCTGAGTCTGGAATAAAGAAACATCTGAAACATTAAGGGGTGTTTTGAACTGACAGACTGGGACCTGTTTTTTAATGACTGTGGTGAGGACTCACATGCACTTACAGATGTACTTACATCTTACATTTTATTCTGTGTCACTCCCACCAAGCAAATAACTATACACCCAAACAATAAAAAATGGATCACAAAGGAAGTGAAAATTTGCCTGGTCCAGAAGAAATTTTCTGAAAGGAGACAAGCTCAGGAGAAGGAGTTCAGGAG